AGTAATAATAGTAAGTTGTAGTAGAGTGAGCCACAAGGTGTCAGCTGTCAACCAATAAGGCCTGAGAAGTCAGTCACAAAATGTACCTGCTGATGACTAATCAGGACATAACTGCTGGATGTGACATGATCCAGCCTCTGTATGGGTGCAGGTTGGGAGAAATGGTTGCTCCACCGAGTAAATGATTCACCATACGAGTTACTCCCAACTACTTGTGTTATCTTTTTGGAAATATTTTCAGCGGGTTGTGGTGTTCCCCACTGTGATGGCTAGGTGCTCCAGCTGGAATGGTGTTAAGGTAAAGTTCTGTGGAATAGCTGGAAAGGCTCCCCAGTCAGCAAAGGACAGTGGTTGTCCTCACTTCATAATTGCTCAGTTGGGTCTGTCCCAAAATTCTGGATCTCAGATCCTAAGAGGCCAAAAGTGTGTTTGAAAATTAGGTACTGGGAGAGCCTAACTGAGCACTCAAATGAGTAATCTGTGAAGAGTCCACTGTCAGCCAGGCAGGACTCAGCAGTGGGTCATAAGATGTGCCTGCTGATGATCAATCAAAATGTGGCTGCTGGACATGGCATAACCCAACTTTGGTATAGTGTAATGTGTGTAGGTTGGGGGCCATGACTTCTATAATGTTGGCATTACTTCATCAATTTTATTTCTAGTCTCTCTCTCTCTCTCTCTCTCTCTCTCTCTCTCTCTCTCTCTCTCTCTCTCTCTCTCTCTCTCTCTCTCTCTCTCTCTCTCTCTCTCACTCTCTCTCACTCTCTCTCACTCTCACTCCCTCACTCTCTCTCTCTCTCTCTCTCTCTCTCTCTCTCTCTCTCTCTCTCTCTCTCTCTCTCTCTCTCTCTCTCTCTCTCTCTCTCTCTCTCTGTTGTCTTCCCATTTATTGCCATTATCATTGTTGCATATATAAGCTTTCTTGAAATTTACTTATAATGTGCAGTCATTTTAGAATGGTAAATATACATTTATTTTTCTGCAGTACTGAGTAAGGATCTACTGCACAGCATCTTTCTGTAGTTTCTGCCTGTCAGGAAAGTGTTGCATATCTTTTTCTGGGTTTTGTCTTTTTTATATAGGATAAATGGTCTTAAAACTGTATCTTTTTAAAAGAAAATTTGAAATTATGGAGAACATCACTAACTAACTAACTAACTCACTCTCCCTCTCTCCCTCTCTCCCTCTCTCCCTCTCTCACTCTCTCCCTCTCTCCCTCTCTCACTCTTTCCCTCTCTCCCTCTCTCCCTCTCTCTCTCTCTCTCTCTCTCTCTCTCTCGCTCTCATTCCATTATCTTGTGGTATTTTATAATGCTACATCAATGTAAGCTGTTGGATCACTAATCCGTACACCTTTCACCTACAGGCGATATTCTTCACACATCTGATTCTTACAGTATGGTAAATTGACCTCTCATGACCAAATTATGCAGCTTTTGTTTGTGTGTGTGTACTCAGCATAAAGCATGGTCACGTTGTTTTTGTCCGCTTTATCTCTCTTTTGTTTTAGGCATGTTATTATCCTTATAGAGTTGTCATTGGTTTAGTTTCAGTTTGTGATTGTGATGTGTTTTGTTGTTTTCTGGAATTTTATTGGTTTGATTAGCTTTTTTTTTTTCCCCCTCATGTTTTTTCCTTGGATTTTGTTGGATATTGCTGAGTAAGAGAGATAAGAGTGATTGAGTGAAAGAGTAAGAGTGAGAAAGTGAGTTTGTGTGAGTGAATGAGTGAGTGAGAAAGTGAGTTTGTGTGAGTGAATGAGTGAGTGAGAAAGTGAGTTTGTGTGAGTGAATGAGTGAGTGAACAAAGGAGAGGAAGAGTGAGAGAATGAGAAAAGCAAGTTAGATGAAGAGAAAGAGAAGTGAAAAAGGAAGACTGAGACTGACAGACAGACAGACGCAAAGACAGAGAAAGAAAGAAAAGAAGGACAAAGGTTGTATGGAAAAAAAGGAAAAAGAAAATACTGGAAAGACTGTGAAAAACAAATAGAGTGGGAGAGAGAGTCATGACAGAATATGAATGAGCAAGCAAGGAAGAGTGGGAAGCATGAGAAGCCGGTAGCTTTATTATTTGTTGTTGATTGGCTTGTAGCATCCTTTGTACATTTAATTTGCACTACTGGCATCACTGTGTGAAAAAAGCAATGTAAATACTCGTATTATCAGATAGAATTGACAAAATTGGATTGTCAGTAACTTGTGGAGTATGCAGTTATCTTTACTAGCCTACCCCACAGTGCACAATGTCACAAAATATCTTTGTTAATTTTTTCTGTGTTTATCTTTATTTATATGCTTGAAGACTTAAGTATCAACTGGTTAGAAAAAAATATATATAATGATAATGAAAAGAAACTTGGCACAACTCTGCAACATGGTTTACCAACAAATAAGAGTTATACCTTTTAATTCATGGGTTAAGTGTATTTTGATAACTTTGGTATTTGATTCTTAAACACTGATTATGGTGAGATCAAAAGTTCTGTAAATTTATATAAATATCCAGCTTTCGAAAAGTTGCTATATGTAACACAGTAATAGAAATATGTTATTATGGTTATTTGGAGATTTGTGTTATTTGTGTAAATAGTTGATTAATGAAAATTATATTTTATATATACTCTGTGTATATATACCTTCCTTTATATATATTTATCTGTGTGTGTGTGTGTGTTAGTGTGTGCACATGTGCGTGCATATATATGTAGTTAAAGATTGCTATTGTAAATGCTGTGTTGCAATGTGTTAAAATTTTGTTAATTTGATTTTAAATATGTTTACCCCCGCTTTGTACTTTGTCAAGTCAGATTAGGAAAATGCTGTAGCAGTTTCCAGTAAATGTATATCCATTTAGGGAAAATTACATGCATCATTATTTTGGTAATACTTTCAGTTGACTTGCAATTTTCTGATGGATATCTTTAAAAGACAAGAGAGAAGGAGAACATGAGAATATGAAAGTTAAGGAAAACCACTTCTATAGATTGAAATAAATGGGCTCTTTATTGCAGGAGTGGCATGTGTGGATGCCTCACCGACAGTTTTGTGCTCTACAACACTATCCTCCTTATCACCATTATATGGAGTCTGCACCACCGTGAGTCAGAAGAAGCCCCCTTCATGGTGAGATTATGGTTTAGTTGCTCTTCAGTTTTTGCAGAAAAATGAAAGGGGAAGAGAAAGGGAGAGGGAGTTTCTTATTCATGGTTTTTGGTTGTGAGATGTGACTTGATTGTAAAATTTTGAGTATAAACCAAGATATCTCTAAAATTGGAACTTTCATAGTAAAGCAAATCTGATCATGTAATCATATTGAGTATTTTCTCTTTTCTCTCCCACAGGCCTTTTGTGTTAACATTCTCTCCATCATGTTTGACATTGTCAATATGTCCTTAAATTGGCCTGCTGTCCAAAGTAAGTCTCAAAAGGTCTCTTATCTATTTTAACTCCAAAGAACTGCAAAACTTCCAGCATTTTATTCACCCCAACCATAAAAAAAGGCTTGATTTCACTTGGCAAATTTTAGTCAATGTGTGCTCAATAGCTCAGGTGCTTTAGGAGCCCAGGCACTGACCATCATTTAGGAATTTGAGCTTCCTTGGTGGAGTGTTTAGGACCCCAGTTATTGCTAATACCTAAGGAGAAGGTGATTTATAGGACCTATAAGGTATGCCTATGTATCATCAGACATCTGCCCACCATTAATTTCAGTATATAATCAAAGTTGCTGGTATTTCAAGGGCTTGATTTTACACACCACAAAATGTATGCATACTTCATTTTCATTTATCAGATACATTAAAGTTCAGAAAAGCACAAGTTTAATTTTTTGTCACAGTTACCCCTCACTTAGGAATGAAAATGGGGATGAATTACAATAATATTGCAATGGAATGCATGTAAAGCAAGGAAGCCATATTTTTAGTATATAAAACAATAAGATATGTATTATGATAATAAGTATCCACATGTATAACTCGTATAAAAATGATAGCAGGCAGTAAATGTGATAATATAAATGGAGAGGAAAGACAGTAGAAGAAAAAGAAAAGATGGGGAATTTGGTTGTTTCAGTTATGCCATACAGCACCAGTATTGCTAATCCATACTCATATATTCCGTTCACAAGAAGAAATGGGTGGGAATGCACTCCTGAAGTTGTGTAATTCATCCCCATTTAGGTGACTGAGGGAGCAGAGGCCTTACCAGGGGAATGAGGGTGTGGGAATGATATCATGGGTGTGCTTGGAGGAAACGTGCGTTATAGTACCAGGGTGTTTAGTGGATGCCATGTACTGTAATCTCATTGATAATAAAAAGTCATGGGAAAAAAGCTGAGATGAGCCATGCAAGGTTATTGCAAATAGTAATGCCAACACATTATGCTAAAAGCCATGATTGTGATGTAATACAGCTTATCGCATAGAGATATTAATAATCTAAAAATCTAAAGCAATTAGTTTCTGAGGTACGTATGAGGATTATCCCTTGTTTAGGGGGGGGTGGGGGGTTTATGGATTTTCTTCTTTTTGTACATGAACTATGCCTTGATATTCTATGTTTTCTGTTAGAATTACTTTTAAAATATCCACTCAAAATAGTACAATAAATGCTTTGAGGGGAAAGCAAAGAAATTGTGACTTTAGGGAGTAACTTTGATGTCGTAAAACTCCCTAAAGATATTTATGAGGGGCCTTGGCATACCTTGGGGAGATTTTTCAAGAGTTCAAAGTTATTGGAAAGCCATATATCTATATCTCAAATTATCAAGACTTTTCATCCTTGGTTATTTTTGTGAGGTTGATTCCCAGTAATGATAGTCACTCTCTCCAACAGCTGGAGGTGCCATGACATTTGGTGCAGCCATGGCAGTCATCAACCTACTAGTACGGCCGCTGTCGAGCTACCTTCTCTACCGCATAGTCCAGGACCGAGCAGGGTCATACGGCACTTTTGGACTGCCTTCTGGATTTGAAAGCATCTTTGGTGAGTTCTCATGTTCCATTTCCCTTCAGTGAGTAGTTGCATAGGAACATCTCAAACTATGGATTTTGTCATGTGTCAGCTTTCTGCTTCTTCCATCTAGGCTCTACTCAGTTGTCTCATTATGGAGATTCTTTATTCCTGTCCAGAGATCTGTGAAGTACTCAGCATCCAGTATGTTTTAGTAAATTACTTTAAACACTTCTGGGTTGATTGTACATTTTGGGAGTCAAGAGCTGATACTGTATAAGAAATTAGATTCATGAAATATCATAATAGATTTAGATTATGACCTAAGTTCTTCAAGAGGACCGTCCCGTAGGTAGGGTGGTCAGAGTGGTGAATTGGAGTTAGTTAACTTACAGTGCTTGTAAATTAATGAGGAACTATGTAAGGGGTATTATGATTATCATTTCATGCACCTTAAAACCTGCCATTTGTGTTAAAAATGAGAGAGAGAGAGAGAGAGAGAGAGAGAGAGAGAGAGAGAGAGAGAGAGAGAGAGAGAGAGAGAGAGAGAGAGAGAGAGAGAGAGAAAGAGAGAGAAAAGAAGGAAAAGGAAAGAAAGAAAAAAAATATATATAGTTGAAATAGCTGTAGAATATTAATACATTTCTAGTGGAGAAGATGAGCTGTTGTCAGTTCTGCACCCACCAACCCCTCACACAAAAAAAAAGAAGAAAAAGAAGAAGAACAGGAGAAAATCATGAAAAATAAGTTCTAGTTTTAAAGCCTTTGTGGGTAGTTAGCACAGTAAAAATCCTATATAAAAGGAAATTCAGTTTTATTCTCTGGAACATGCAAAAACTCTAATTGAGTTGTCTGAAATGATTATCTTTTGAAAATCAGATGATCAGAATAAGATCCATAGCATGGTTACCAGAAATAAATAGAAAATCTATTATTGATTATTCATTTATTTTGCATGTCTTGAGATTAGTGAGGGATCAAAGGTGATGATGTCAAAGATCTAAAAAGTTTAGGGCCCCTGGTTGTGTTGAACTAATGACTATTTCCTTTACACTGGCAGGTGGACGACGCAGCCCCTATGAGGACATTGACCAGCCTCCTCAGCAGACGCCTTCTGGGATTGATACTCAGAATACTGCAGCTCCAGGGTCACCACCAGACAATCTCTTCACCACCTAAATACCTAGTTGGCAATTGGCAGCCAGAAGCTTCATCTTTTGAGCTTTATGTTGATGAATATGAATTGTTTTCAGCTCCTCAAATGGACATAATTGATGATTGCTTTATCTGCCAGTAGATACATGCCGAGGGAAACAAAAGGGAAGATTCTAGTCTAATGAATATCTTTGGCAATTCAGGTTCTTCATCTGAGGTATGGAAAGAATATAATGCAAATAACAAGTGTGATAGTAATCCAGAGTATCAAAATAATATCACTGTGTGAATTTCTTGATTAGCATAGAGTTTAATGTTAACCTAATGCCACCAGGAAAATATAGTGTTCACTGTAGTATTACTTTATGAAATATCATTACACATAGATGGCTCCATAAGTACTTATCCACCAAGGAGTCACATTAGTAGACCTTGCCTGATTTCACCTTTCTTTGACATGGATTTTAGATTTTCTCCAAAATCAAGGAAGAGGGTACACAGGTGAGATAGATAGTAATTGTAATTGGATCATTGGTGATTTAGTACTGGTTGAGCCATCTTTGTGTAAAGACAATTAATAAAGTAAACACAGTGGTCATGGCCATCCCCGGTGATGTCAGGTTAGATATTTACTTTACAATGGAGAATTTTTATAATTTCCCATTATACATTCCATTTTAACTAATCTTGCACAGTGTTTATTTCACAAACAAAGTTTGAATTAACATGTCTTAGCCTTAAAGAACACAAGCCCATGCACACACACAGACACATAATGCATACACCTGTACAAACACAATTTTTTGTACATGCATACGTACGCTCACATGCATTCTACCACTTATACACTTACGCCCACACCAACCCAGCCACCTACATACTCACCCACCCTCTCTCCTTTCTTCCCTCCCTCTCTTTCTCCTGCATCCATTCATATCTTGTGTTGGCTTTGAAGGGAGTGTAATTTTGAAGTAAAGGGGAACTTGCCAGGTGTGATAGCACATCTTTCCCTGCTTTTTGTGGCTGTAACATTCTTCCTTTATTTTTTTAATTTTCACCCAGATTTTGTGTTCATTATACTCTGCATTCCCTAGATAGGGGTATACATTATGCTGGTTTTAATCCAGTGTAGAAAGCTTATTTTTTAAGTGTATTCCATGCTTATGAGGTTTAGATTGCTCTCCCTATTTTTTACAATGAAAGTGCATAGTGATTGATTTTAGAATACTGTCCAAAATAGAAATAAAACTATATAACAAAATAGTTTAATATTACTAAGAGTATGTATAAGAAAATTATTATAGTAAATTTAAGTATTTTTGGTACATGGACACACATGCACACAGGTGTGTGTTTGAGTGTGTTACATGTACATATTTATATGTATATGTGAATGAGTGTGTTTTGTGCATATGCGTGTGTAAGAGTGTATATTGTTTATGCATATCTATATGAATGGATTGTGCTTATGTGCTTGTGTGTACATGTACATTTGCATTTATGTATAAATGCATGTGCATGTGCATGCATGTATCTTGTCTGTATGATTTGCGCACTTAAACAATATAAACACATTTGATCCTTTCTGCCTTTCACAATAAGATCTGAATTTTATGTTATAGTTCACACAAGATAATATTCAGGAGTAAAAGTTCAGTTCAAATCTGTAGATACAATTTTTTTTATGTCAACTATAATAATTTAGGTTACAGTATTTATTGAACAAGCAAAGATAATGCATTGTAGATGAAATGCATTAATTGTTTTAAGTGAGTTTTTTATAACTGCACAATCATTTGGAAGTTTTTTTTTAACAGAGTGCATGCTTATATAATTTCACCGTAAGATGAATAAAACTGTACACAACCTTTTGGTTACATGAAGTTGAAAACCTGCACTTATTAACATCACATATTTGAAAAAAGGCTGGATTTACAAAGGTGCTGGAAGTGAATTTAATTTATTGATTCCATCTTTGCTCTTTCCCTGGCTTTCTTTTTTTGTTGTTGAGTGAAGGATCTGCTTTATGTATGTGCAAATACGAGTGAGAGTATGCTTATGCTTGTATGATAGTGTTTAAAATAATAAATGGTGTTAATAGAAAATGTGTAGAATGTGTATCTATTTTGTTATAACATTTAAGGTTTAATGGACTGCTAACACTATATCTGGTTTTATGATAAGGGTGGTAAACAGCTTTCATATGCCAACCCTTTCTTTATTTCTTCTTCTCTCCGATATATCTTGATGTTTGTATTTTTCCAAGGCATTTCATATCTTTTTTTTATCTGGAATATTTAGAGTTTTAGAGACATTCATGAATTATGCCAGAAATGTGCCATGGACGTAAATACCTGTGTTTAAAGCACTTGATAATAGTGGATCTAGAGTTGGTTTAAATTCTGTTGGTAAATGTGAACAATTATCATTCCATTTGGTACACTATTCTGATGTAACATATTGTCTGATAGATTATAGAATGAATTTTCAAATACATATGTGTACTTACATATACATATACATATATATATTTTTTATTTCTTTATACTTAAAATTATTAGATATGTGTTTATTAGTGGAGTGCATAAACCTAAATGACATAGCTATGAATTGTCTTACACTTAAACCGTAGCAGCTCTGCTTGTGCCTTGCTAGGCTGGTAAGAGATTGTTTTCAGCCAGTGCTACACACAGTGATGGCTCCTAAACAGAATCGGATAAAGATTATCTCTGTTGCCGAGACAGGTTATTCTGTAGGTGTAAGTTGGATTATTATATGCTACATACCAAAATGTTCTTTGTGCAGAGAGTGGAAGTTATGTATGTATGCTCTTGAAGACATGGGAACTTGCAATGGAAATTCTTATATTATAATTCCACCTTCAGAAAATCTCCCACGTGTTTTCAAGGGTATTCTTTATTTTGTACTTAAATGGAAAATGATTGTGTAGATTTTTTTTCCTTTAATCAATATGTTTCATGTTGCCGTTCATCATAATAAATCTGCCAGTGATTGCTGCATAAACTATTCTGCATGTCTGAGTGTCCTAAATTACAAACTTTTTGTTAGTTTTTTTTTTTTTTTTTTTTTCCAAGTCAAAATAGATATTTGTTTGAATAATTGATCTTTACATATTTTCATTTTTTTCTATGTACCATGTATAATTATATCCATCCTCTGAATGAATTTGATAAAGGGAATGTGAATCTTAATTTCTCCTCTGTGTGAGTCAAAGGAAATTCATCTTAATCTCCATCTGACTTTGTTAGCATATTTTTGGTGTATCCTTACTAAAGTATTCTTAAAAACAAAGTAAAGCCTGTATATAACATTTACACGTAGATTTTGTATCAGCTACATGGCCCTACATATCACACAGGGACATGAAAATCACTAATAAATAGGTTCCTTGATGTCATCACACTCACCTTATAACTATAACCAAACAAATTCACTGAAAGTTTACTTACCTATTTTAAAGTAACACTTCAGAAAGACAAGACACTTTATCTAATCAATCTCTGAGTAACTCAACCCACTTTAACCCCTTCAGTAGTCTCACTAGTTGGCAAAATGGCTACAAGTTTAAATTTCTCTTTTAATTACCTCATTCTGTGAGATCTGCCTCAGTTGTGTCAAGGTAATATCCTACCTGAAGCTGGGGTTGCTAGTCTTGGAAGACATTGAGTTATATGGAAAGTTTGTTCTACTCCTATAAGGGATTAGGCCATCTACACAACTTGATTTATTATAAACCCAGATTTATTTTCTTTCTTTCTTTCTTTTTTTATAAACTTTACCTACATCGCTGCAGAATTAACTCGATGTTTGTGAGTCATTTATAGCAACTTGCCTTTACTTATTACCCAATGCCTCCTAGAGTTCCATATTAATGGTCTTTAGTTATTACAAAAGGGTAGTTTGTTTTCTTACTATAATTGTAAACTGGTACAAAAAGTGCATTGTTATCAAAGCTACCACAATATTATCAGCTGCCTCACAGCCCTCAGATGGGAGTACATACAATGACCCTTAGTAGATCTAAGGCAAACCACCAAGCTCTGTCACTCTGGGATGTCTTTGTCCACAGTACTCATAAAAGAATAAGCACCAGGAGGATACAAGGGATGTTAAAGAGTCAATTAAACCATTGGCCATGGGTACATATACTGTCCACTGTGTTTTTTTTTGTGAATTTTGTTACATAAATAGTTCAGCAAGTACTCAGACAGGAGTCAGTAATCCGCATTCTTTGAATTTTCATGATTTTTTTATTATTATTATTGACGTTATGATTACTATAATACTAAGGTACTAATATCAATAAAAATAATAAAGAATTTTCCTACAAACAAGGAAAAAAGTGAACAGGTGTGATAAATAGGACTACTAACTGATTCCTTGGTGACTAAGCACTTGTGAAGCCATCTATGTGTTAAAACAATCAATAAATCAAATTCACAGTGGACATGGCATGCATGCTATGCTATTGTGGTACAATGGGTTAAAACTTGGAAATTATTTTTGTAGAAGATTGTACAGCAGTTTAACAGTGGTTAGATGGATCAAATTTATGTATTATTTTCATAGTGTGATTTTTAGGACTTTGAATTATTATTTGTAATTTTAACATAATTGCATCTGTCCATAAATGTATTTCTCTAATGTAATTTATTTATAACTGAATAAGCACTTTGATAATTATGCTTTCAGTTGAACTTAAATGATTTCTGATTTAAAATGTTTTACAATTTTTTTCTGTAATACATACTATAATTTTACCATAAACATAATTTTAAAGAGAAAATACGTTCCGACACTATGCATGCAAATCTTAGTTATTAAGGTTAAGCTTATGAACTGTTTATAATAACTAAATTATATTATATCCAAAAGGTGAGATAGGATATGTATTTACTGACTCCAGAAAATTAATAGATGGAAAATGAGCAGGGAAACTGTAAGAAATAGTTAAATAACTGAACAAATCATTTTAGTTTGAAGTGAATACATCACATTAGAATGAAGATAGGCCAAATATGTAGTTAATAACCATTCAGATGGACTAGGAGCATATTTGTACAGGAACTTTCTTACTCATGCTTGGGATGCTGCTATCTTTTGCCCTGACTGAGTTCAGCTGTTGTCAGTACTCACCCATAGCTGAGATGGTAGGGAGGCCAAACCGAATGTAAACCTGATCCCTCGCAATGGCAAATCCCACTGAGTTCCATTTCCTCCATTAAGAAACAGAGCTGTGCTAAGTGAATTTATAACTTATACAGAAATTTAGCAAAACAACAATTAAACTAGGGACTCTGTCACGTGCATTTAAATGATCTTTTGTAGCTCCTGAAAACCAACAGAGATTCCAGAGAATTGAAGACTTAGATTTGCAGTTGCTCGTTATTGTTGTGGGGGGGGGGGGGGCTTAGGAGATGGGGACTGAGGCCTAATGTAGGGGATCACCCCTGCCTTGATCTTCAGCCCTCGCCTCAACTAATTATGCATGGTCTTTTCTTCTCCTCCTTTCCTTTTCCTTTTCTTTATCCCCTTGTTCTGTTCACTTATCCTAATTGTTAACAAATTTTTGCCATTTCTGCCACAATACTTTATCCCTACTCCCTTAATTCCTTCCCCTTCTAACAACCTTTATACTCTACCCCATCAGCTCCCCTTCTCTACCACTTTCACTACCATACTACCCTCTAGTACTGTTCAAGTTATAATTTTACCCTTTTCATTAACTCTTTCCTAACCCTTTTTGCTACTATACTTTACCATAGTGCCATATGATCTTTGATGTCATATAGCACTTTCTTATTGGGGGGGCTTTGCCCCCAAGCCTCACTCTATATCTATATTTTATACATCACTAATGAGCTTAGATGTTGACATGGCAGAAATTTTTCAAGAAATAAAATTCTCCTACCAAGTATTAATCATCACATTTCTGGTAATGTATGCAGAAAATTTTCCAGAGTGGCAGGTAAAATAGTAATTTCTCAGCCTTGCAGAAAAGGCCAATATATTATCAGACCAGTGGGGCTGAAACTTCTTGTCTGAAAGCATTTCCAACGAAGATCAAAGATTTTTTAGCAATCTGAAAATAGATCTTTTAACATTTAATAGCCTGTTCTGCCAAAGTAATTGATTGGGCATTGGGTAATGTATTCACAAGGGTAAAATGACCACTCCAGGCATGGATGGCATTACTTACTTTACACTTTGCTTCAATGCTCCAGTGCCAGATAGGGCACTTATATATATCTATAAACTTGGCTTATCTCAAGAAAGCCTCCCAATCAAAAAGAATAAAGGTTGAAGCACTCCTTAATCTAAATCCAATTGATAAACACCAAGCCATTTTTTTTTACCTCAGTCCTGTGCAAAATACTTCAGAGAACATAGTAGTCTGGGTGCAGAGTAAGGTGTGCTTCTGTTGTGTATTAAAAACATAATTTGCAGTACCTGGATTGCAGGAGAGTTCATGACTGGTCTTGTGCTTTGCAAAATGAGTTGGCAGGAATACCTATAATTATTATTGTTTTTTTTTTCAACATCTAATGTCATTAGTGGCATATTCAAAATACAACAATAAGGTGGGGCTTAGGGGGTAAAGCCCACAATGGGCCCCAGACTCAGTCTCCGAAGGCCCCCCACAACAACAATGAGCAAGGGAATATTCTTAAAAAATGAATTTCCGTTTAATATTATAAAACACAGGATCTTGCTATCCATTTTGTGTATATACCATCACATGGAGTTCCAAAGCATGATCATGCTGATCGCCTAGCTAGGTCAGCAAATGATAGGCAAAGTGTGGATGTAGATCTTAAAATACCTCTTGCTTCGATTTCATGTATTAATAGAACTTCCTACAAGGAGGACTTAACAGAGCAGATAAATTCTCTGAGCCCAGAAGTTGGAGTGGTTCTGGTTTTCACACAAAAAAAGAAAATAAAGAAAAAGAAAAAGAAAAAACAAGAACAAGGCAAAGCGATGTTGCAAGAACTAGGTTTGGAGACAGGTGTTGGTAAGTCTATGAAATCTGCATTATGGAAGACACTAAATGTAAAATGTGCAATGGAGAGTTAAGCAAACCGATGTAAAGCATGTACTACAAAAAGAAAAAACTTGTTTGTTGATCATATCATTGTTTATGGCCAAATGGAGGACAAGCATATCTGGCTATCAGTAGACCGTTAAGAAAAAAGGGAAAGAAACTTTATTTACTTTCCTATCAACTTTTTCTTCTTTTCCGTGTATTTGCGTCATTAAAATACTATGCTGCTTATGTATTTTTGGAAATCTGGGCAAAAAATTGTATTTATCAGATGTTAATTATGCACTGGATACAGTAAATTATTAAATCATATTTATAATTAGAATATAGAAGCTCACCATAACACTTCGAGTAGATCGAAAAAATGGTATTCAAACAAGCTTTTATTGACTGTTTGACATAATACATTCTTAACGTCAGAATCACTACACACTATTCAGAATGTGTTTCATGCATTGCAATAAATCATAACAACAATCAATTATTACCTTTACAAGAACAACTCTTTTCTCTAATGTAAGAAGCGAAGAAAATTATACTAAACGAAACCCTTGACTTAACCTCAATGAAGTTTCTTGAAGTGATGGGAGGCGGGACCCGGTCGGCCTGTGGTAGGGACTAGGTTCTCCCAGTGCTCCCGATTTGCTCTACGTTAAGGGAAAAATATGAGTAAGATATGTGAGTGTAGTCACAACTATTCTTTAAATATGAATGTTATATATTCATTGGAATATTGTTCTCTTTTACTCAACCAGGCGAGAATGAAAAAAAACAGACCTCAAAGATACACAGATGTTGAGTGACTCACGGTCATTTCTTTGGTCAAGCAGATCTGTGGATGGAAACGGGTGGAATACTCCTAATTAACAAGCCACTCACCTCGCGTTAATGAATTCGTATGAACTATTCCTGATGCCTGCGCCCCAAGGCTCGTGTTTGGCGCTTGAGGCCGGGAGTTTCCCCCGCTCTTCGGCCAGTTCTTCGGCGATGGCGCGGATGTGGTAGGGCTCGAAGCCGCAGCAGCCGCCTATGTAACGCACGCCCACATCGTAGGCTGCGCGGGCGTACTTGTGCACATCGAATCTCGTAACCGTACGGGACTCCAAGGCTGCAGGTTGGAAGGCTCTGTTTAACGCCATAATGCTCAATTTCTGAAAGATTCAAGTTATACTGGCTTAGTACTAAGGTTTCTGCGTCTCTGACAAGGGGCTTACACACCCAACGGATATTCAGGGCAGCTGAGGTATCCGTATCTGTCTGTGCCCGTCGAGAAGAATCCGTTGGGCTGCGTCATGAGAAAGGGGTGGAGACCTTGGGCGTCGAGGGCCTCCTTCATGAGCCTGATGGTGTCGATGGTCATCACGGGGTCGAACAGGCAGTTCACGCCAACTGCGAGACACAGCATTTCGGTAATTTAATTGCAGGCCTATTTAGTTATAGATTTTGTCATATCAATGAGGGAGTGTTTCTGTGATACCATCCGGATGCTTCCCTCTCTTTGATTTTTCATTTCTTTAAATTTTGAATTCATTTGTATATTTTGAAGAAAAGGAAGGATCATGAAACCCATATGCCATTGGACCTGTTTGATGACGGTCTAATTATTCACTTTATTTCAGTTTAGAATTTGGATGTTTTATCAGCCAATAAATGAAGAGCGTGAACTGTGGATCTGAAGCTATTATGTGAAGCCTTACAAGGACCAAAAAAGATGACTGACCGACGTCGGCGCCTGCGCGGGCCATCCTGACGGCACACTCCCCCGGGGGGACGCCGGTTAGGTCGCCCTCCTTGCCGATGCACATGGACGCCGCCACAGGCAACCCGTACTTCTTCGCTTCCTCGATTGCCCATTCAATTTCCTCGACGTAAATGTAATACTGTCAAGATATAGCAAAAAGCAAGAATGAACTGGATAACGTTTTCAATTGTCCCACATTTTCATAGAACCTAAAGCTCACTATAACCTCCTCTAATCTATATCCTTCTCTTTCTTTGACATCTCCCACTGGAAAACATTGTCATTGTACAGTATCATCACGATGGTTTGTCACCCGTTATCATCATTTTCCCCCATCCTATAACTTTACTGCGTTGTACCAAACACCACGCCTTACCTCAACGATAAGGAAATCGACTTTGTTCTTCCTTAACGTATCCAGCTGGGTCCTGATGACGGCCTGTACTTCCTTCTTCCCTTTTCCTTCACGGTAGGCATAACAGTGTGTAATTCCTCCGGCTACCAACGCGTCGCCTTCTGCTGCCACTTCATGAGCCAGTGTACAAGCGCTGTCGTTTAGTTGAGAACACTGCAGATCGAGGCGGGTTACTCTACTGTTCTTATTATCGTCATTATTATTATTTATTATTTACTATCATTATCAATTTCCAGTATCAGCATTATTATCACTATCCTCATTTGTTAGCAATGTTATTGTGAGTGCCCACAAAACATTACTAAATATAATTAACACTATATAAGAGGAGAAAACGACACAGCCCCCAAAAGGTTGATTTTCAGAACTGTGATTCAGGGTCACTAAAGAAGGACTCGAGGCAACTAAAGAACTAGGACTGAGGGCAACTAAAGAACAAGGATTGAGGGAAACTGAAGAACAAGGACTGAGGGCAACTAAAGAACAAGGATTGAGGGAAACTGAAGAACAAGGACTGAGGGCAACTAAAGAACAAGGATTGAGGGAAACTGAAGAACGAGGATTGAGGGAAACTGAAGAACGAGGATTGAGGGAAACTGAAGAACGAGGATTGAGGGAAACTGAAGAACGAGGATTGAGGGCAACTGAAGAACAAGGACTGAGGGCAACTAAAGAACAAGGATTGAGGGCAACTGAAGAACAAGGATTGAGGGCAACTGAAGAACAAGGACTGAGGGCAACTAAAGAACAAGGATTGAGGGCAACTGAAGAACAAGGACTGAGGGCAACTAAAGAACAAGGATTGAGGGCAACTGAAGAACAAGGACTGAGGGCAACTAAAGAACAAGGATTGAGGGCAACTGAAGAACAAGGACTGAGGGCAACTAAAGAACCTTACAGAGAATTTCTGGCCGTTCTTCAGGTCCAGTACGTCGTCGGTAGAGAAGAACGTGAAGGTCTGGAGGACGTCGCTCCCCGCCAAAAGGAACTCGCGATGAAGTTGCTTAACTGTGGAGTTGTGAAGTAGAGAGTAGAGAGGAAAGGACAGAAGGGAAGTAGAAAGAGGAAAGAAGACAGAAAAGGGGGGGTGGGGGTGGATAAGCAGGGTGACGGAGAGATCATTAGACTAAAAGTTGATTCCGTTCTGTCCAGCTTTTCCTTTTTTTCGTCATCTCTATTCGTCTATACTATTTTCATGCCACTTTCTATAACTCAGCTCATTAAATACTTCTCTGTTCAACTCTACCGGCTTCAGGGTGCTCCACGGAGGCCTCTGGAGTCCAGTTCCCTGCTTTAACATAGCCTCGTTTTTCCAGGGCAATGACGTAACCTCCGTCTCCGGTCACGACGCCATCTCGAAGGCGATCCAGCAAACCCTGTGTATTTTTAGGGGTGTATTTTATATAAATAAATATTTTTAAGTGGTGTCTTTTATACAAACAAATAGTTTTTTGGGGGGATCTTTTATATAAATAAATTAAGATATAAAAAATGACCGCACCGACTCGGAGAAAATCTAAGACGATATAACAATGTATGCATTGACAAACTACAGTCATTGATATCAAAATTAATCTGCAGAAGCCACCCGATTCGAGTTAAACGTCTGAAATGTATCGCGGAGCCTTCCTCGCCTCGCAGCGAACAGCCGTCTAAGGTCTACATACTTAAAGACCTTGCAACCGGCTGCGCGATAACCCAACATACACCGTCTTGGCGCAGGTAGTTCGTGAAGTCATTGTCAGTCTCTTGCAGATGCACTATGCGTATTTTCGTATTTTTGTTTTTGGGTAACCATACCGATACACATATTTATCAAATGTTCATTCCTTAAATGTGATTTGTTCTATTTCATTGAATACGCACCATTTTGATCTATTAGAAATACATGTTCACTACATACTTGCGCAGGCGTGCAATTTACAGGCAAATTTGAGTTTTGTTGTCACAGTCCTAATTACTCGTTCCAAAAGTGAAGTTTATAGTACTATTTGTGTTTCTGTTTCCCGATATCCCACTGAAAACGATCACTTACTGAAATTGTTACGATATCGGGCATATTCAGAAAAATATAATAAGCGCGTTCCAGCTGCAGATCTTCGTCAGAGGTTCGTCACTTCCCAGCCACCCAAACTTTATATGTTTAATCGGCGGTGATCGGGAGAGGTCCG